CTGAATTTATTTATTTATTTTTTAGTTCTGTCAGTTTTCACTTCATTTGTTTTGGAGCTCTATTATTAGATGCATATGCATTTATGATTGCGACGTCTTCTCAGAGAAGCGACCCCTTACTCAATAGATAATGTCTCTCCTGATCTCTGATAATATTCCTTTTTCAGAAGTCTATTGGACTGATATAAACATAAGTAGGTACTACTACAAATCTGTTTTACAGAGGAGAAAACTAAAGCACAGAGAGGGAAAATAACTTATCTAGGGTCACACAGTTGGCACGTGGCAAAGGAAGGATTTGAACTTAAGCCACTTGACCTTGGAGTCCATGCTTTTAACCACTGCACTAAACTGCCTACGCCACAGCACCCCAGGGCTTGCTTCACTTTTCACCTTCCTCTCTCTACTGTCCATCTGCCTCTCATCAAACTGAGCGTAAGCTCTAGCGAAGGACCCTGGGCGCCTGAAAACTGAAGTGTGGGCAACTTTGTGTTGACTCGTTCTCAATCCCCTGGGGCTGTTTTTCTGAAGGGAATCCTGGGGCGCGGTCCTTTATTTCAGAGGGGTGCCGTCAAGCCACAGACCCACTTTCAGTGGGGTACACCGAGGCCTGTCTGCCAGCCCACAAGGCTCACCCATGCAGTCTCCGACGTGTGTCATCACAAAGCCAGGGAAGCAGAGGCAGTGGTAGGAGCCAACGATGTTCTTGCAGGTCCCGTTTCCGCATGGCTGCCGGTCACACTCGTCGATGTCTGTCAGGGCAAAGCCCCCAACCCCTGCCCAGCTCAGCCAGGGCAATGAGCAGCTCAGGGACCGAGGGGCTGGGAAGTATCTGGTACTATTTATTGCTCCCATTTTACCGATGGGAAAACTGAGGCACAGGAAAGTGACTATGTCATTTTCCCAAGGTCTTAAGTGACAAGATGGATAGAAGCACAGTCTCCACCTCAGAAGTGTAGATCGATGTCCCCCCGCCGCCACCCTTGGCCGCTTGGTCTGCAAAGAGGGGCAGGAGGGGGCTCTCACCCATGCACAGGGTCTGGTCCACCGAGGCCCGGAAGCCACGGTGACACAGGCATGTGTAGCTGCTTTCTGTGTCCACGCAGTCACCATGGCTACAGACATTCGGGATCTCCTGACACTCGTTCCGTCCTGAAGAAGGGCAGGCAGTGTGGGGTCCCCAGGACCCGCACCCCGGTGTTTCCTAAGCCTTCGCATGCTGCGATGGGAAAGCCAGGACCTGCCTGCAAGTCCCCTATTCAAGCTGCTGCCAGCACCAAGCTGTCTTAACCTATTTCACCTAAGCATCTAAGAACGGATGCTCTCGGCGCCCCCACCTGCCCATACTCCAGCCAAAGAGAAAGGCCCGGACAGAGCTGTGTCCTACCCAAGTCACAGTGGGCAGAGCCTGGCTTTGTCCCATATTCCACGTCCTTACTTCCCTACCCTGTGCCTGCTGGGGTCCCCCACTTACCTACACAAGCCCCGCCTGGCAACAGCTTGTACCCTCGGGTGCACTTGCAGCGGTAGCTGCCAGGGATGTTGATGCAGTCGGCATTCTGCTGGCAGGGACTTTCCCCGCTGGCACATTCGTCCACGTCTGGGGAATGCAGCCAACAGGGCAGGAGTGAAGAGGACACCTTCCCTGCCAGATCAAACCCCAAACCCGGCCCCCAGCATCGGAGTGGGTGGTCTCTCTGGAAGCAGCCAGAACCAGAGCGAGGGTGGTTATGTGGGATGGAGGCCCTCGAAAAGGCGTTAGTCTCATTGCACAGAGGGGGAAATAGAAGTTCATGGAGCTTAGATGACCTGCCTAGAGAGGACAGGGGTGGGGGGACCAGCATCCCGCCCAGGGCTGTGAGGCCGGGGAGGAAGCACCTTCGCAAACCAGCAGAGCGCTGTTGTAGAGGAAGCCCATGGGGCACTCGCAGCGGAAGCTCCCGATCTGGTTGATGCAGACGCCGCTGGTGCAGATGGCGGGGATCTCCCCGCACTCGTCGATGTCTGGGGAGGGCACCAGTGTCAGGGGCAGCCTGGCCCCCGGGAACACCTGGGGACCATGAGCTAAGGGCCCTGAAGCCTAGGAGGAGATGTGGCTACGAACCAGCACACACTCGAAAAATCCTGCTGTGGCCAAAATGTGTCTGCTCACACCAGAAAGAGATCAGGATGTGGGAGGAAAAAACTAGAACATTCGCTGTGGCCCAGCAAGCCTGCTTTGAGGGGTCTGCTGGAATAAAGCAGAGACGTGTGTCAGCAAGACGCTGTATGGGGAAGTCCTGGGACGATGCTTAGCAAGACACGGGAAATGTCAACGGGTACATGGATAGCCGGATGTAGTCTCCCCATACAACGGAATGTCATTCAGCCCTAAAAAGGAAGGAGGCACTGGCACACGCTGCCGTGTGGATGAACCTTGAAAACATGCTCAGTGAGAGAAGCCAGACGCAAAAGGCCACATGCTTCATGGTTCTGTTTCTATGAAATGTCTGGAAGAGCCAAATCCAGAGACGGAAAGTAGGTGCCAGGGTCTCTTTTTACGTGATCAAAATGTTCTAAACTTATATCGATGTGATGGTTGCACAACTCTGTGAGTCCAGTGGACCCCTGAACAACATGGGTTTGAACCGCGTGGGTCCAGGTACACACGGGTTTTTACACAAATGAATGCTATAAATTATTTTCTCTTTCTCATGATTGTCTTAATAACATTTCCTTTTCTCTAGCTAACTTTATCGTAAGAGCACAGTATTCATACGTATAACACACAAAACATGCGTTATTTGACCGTATGGTATCGGTAAGGCTTCCAGGCCACCGTGGACTATTCGTAGTTAAAATCTAGGGGAGTTGAAAGTAATACGAGGATTTTCAACTGCGCAGAGAAAGGCTGGTGCCTCTGATCCCTATGGTGCTCAAGGGCGAACTGTATACAAAACCCTCCTGAATTATGTACTTTAAAAGGTGGTATGTATGGTATGTGGATTATATCTCAATAAAGCTGTTATATGCAAAAAAAAGAAAAAGAAAAAGAAAAGAAAAGAACCTGGGAACACCTAAGTGTCCATCTGTGAGGACTGGCATGTGACCTGGGACATGTCCATACGTGGAATGTGCTAGAAAGCAGGGCTAACGGGGAAGCAGGACTCTACAGAGTAACCTGGCCAGTTCTTTACGACTTAACTTCTGAGTGAGGAAAAAAAGCTGCAGACCAATATGTAGGGAATCATAGAATTTCTGTCGAACTCACCAGAAAACAAAGCCATACGTTTTCAAGAAGAGATCTCTATATGTATTTAAATGCATGAAGAAAGAACTAGAAAGAAATACTCTAGGCGTAAAGCATGGGAACCTTAAGGGAGCAGGAAGGGGACTTAGATGTGAGGTGGTGACTGGAGGGAAAATAGAACTTATCTGCCATGTTCCAATTGTTTAAAATAAGGGAAATACACCCACGGGGTGAAAACAACTAGAAGTGTGTTCATCAGTGAGACACCGCACAGCGGAAATTTGACATTTAGGTATTAAACTGTACAAAACCTCATTGAGCTCAAAAGTGTCTGACTGCAACACCGATGAACCTTGGGGACATTATGCCCAGTGAAATAAGCCAGACGCAAAGGGCAAATACTGCACAATTCCATTCACAGGAAGTCCCTAGAGGAGTCGAATCCACAGAGACAGGAAGTAGATGGTGGGAGCCCGGGGCTGGGGGAGGGGAAGGGTGGGGGTGTGAGTGTTTAATGAGGAAAGAATGTCAGTTTGGGAAGGTGAGAAAGTTCTGGAGACCGATGGTGGGGATGGTTGCACGACAGTGTGAATGTGCTTCATGCCACCGAACGGACACTTAAGAATGGTTAAGATGGTCAATTTTGTTATGTGTTATTTCATCAGAATTTTTAAAAGTAAACAACAATTTAATAAAAATACTCTTACCGTTATTTTTTTAATAATGGGAAGTGTTTGGGGTTAGGATTCCTGACCTGGCCTGGGAGGCAAGAAATGTCGGTGGCATGGGGCTGGGGAGCGTGCAAGAGAAAGCACTGTGGGGGAGGGGAAGGGAGAGGTCGGGACTCCGTGGACCGCGGGAGCCGGACCTATGGGCTGGGGGGCAGTGGTCACTCACCGACGGGCTTCCCCGTGTGGATGTCAATGACGAAGCCAGGGACCTGGTTTCCGCACAGGACCTGGTAGTCCGCTGGGCAAAGGAGAACAAGGGAGGGGGCACCAGGCTGCAGGCTCCCTGAGAGCCTCCTCCTCCTCTTCCCCCACTTCCGGATCCCGCGCCCATCATCTACATTGTCCCTGTAGCCCGGCACACACCTGACCTCTGGTAACTACTCCCTCGCTCTCCCTCCACTTGGACCAGCACTGACAGCGTTAAGCCATCCACCTGCACAATGTGATCTGCCACGTATAATCTCCCTCATCTCTTCCCTGCCTGAGTGCCGCCAATCACACCCACTGCCCTCACCATAAAACAAAGACTCTTCAGGTTGGACCTCAAGACCTTCACCTCCTGGCCCTGCCCCAACAGTAACTCCTGCCCTCCCGTTACACCGATGTCATTACATGTCTGGATATGCCCTGCTCTGTCAGGCCACCACAGCTTTGCACATGCTGTTCCCTTCGCTGTTCCCTAGCATAGCCCACTACAACCTTGGAGACTCAGGGCAGCCCACAGGAAAGGCTCCCTTGGGCTCCCCTTGACCTGCCACCCTGGGTCTGGACAGCTGTTGGCACCACTCTTGGGTAAAAACACCTGTAGGGTAATTCACTCTCTAAATACATCCCACTGCTGACACCAAGATGCTGCTTGCCGAACTTTGATCCCCAGGAAGGGTGGATGACCCTGGACCCACCTGACAAATGCGGGCAGGCATTTGGGCGGCGCCACTTTGCCACATTTCCCCAGGTCCCTGCTCTCCTGCCTGTGTCACGATGAGAACAGACCAATCTCAGCAGTTCCTTTGCTGCTGTGCACTTCTGCCTCATATTATTATACCTGCACCTCAGATTCAGGTGCACGAGATCCAGGCAGGTACCTAAGTCTCAGCACGCAACCCATGGGTGACTTTTGGTCTGTATTGATACTCTTATAATCAGAATCGGCTGCTTGCGGCTTCCCTCCAAGACTGCCCAGCTTGGGTATACCTTATTCCTGATTCCTAGAACCCACAACAGGGTCCAGCAGTACCCAGAGATGGCCAGTAATGACCTCTCCTCATCGCACTCCACTGGGTTGAACAATGACCCCTTCGCCCGTAAGTTCACGTCCATTCACAACCTCTCAACGGGACCTTTCTTGGAGACAGAGTCTTTGCAGATGTAATCAAGTTCAGATGAGGTTATCCTGGATTAGGGTGGGCACTAAATGCAATGACTGATGTCCTTATAAAAAAGGGAAAGCCACGTAGACTCAAGGAGGAGCCATGGCAGAAATCAAGGTGATGCAGCTACAAGCCAAGTTAACACAGACACCTAGGGCCACCAGATGCTGGAAGAGGCAAGGAAGGATCTTCTCTGAGCCTCTGGAGTGAGTGTGGCCCAGATGACACCTTGATTTCCGACTTCGAGCTTCCAGAACCGTGAGAGAATAAATTTCTGGGTTCTCTAAGGCACCAAGTTTGTGGTGATTTGTTACTGTAGCCCTAAGAAATGAATTGTTTCGGTCCATTCCGGCTGTGATGACAAAACACCACAGACTGGGTGGCTTAAATAAACACTTCTTCCCCACAGTCGTGGAGGCTGAGAAGTCCAAGATCAAGGCGCCAGCCCATTCGGTGTGTGGTGAGGGTTCTCTTCCTAGTCTACAGCCAGCCACTTCCTTGTTGTGTTTCCTCACATGACAGAGAAAATCTCTCTCACGTCTCTTCGTATAAGAGCACCAAGCCTGTTCGGGAGACCTCCACCTGTGTGACCTAATCACCTCCACACCTCCTACTACCATCACATTGGGCATTCGGGCTTAACATATGAATTTGGGGGAACATGAAAATTCAGTCCACAGTACTCATATAACCGCAACCCTCTAGTTGTCTCCTTCTATTCACTGCTCCATTCCTGACGCTCTTTCTGATACCTGAGCTGGCTGCTAGGTCATTCTAATAGTTCTCGTCCGAGGTGTCAAAATGGCCTACTGCTCAGTCCTGCCTCCACGCCTTTGCTCACGCTGATCCCTGCCTGGGACAGCCTTCTTCGTCCTGACAAACACTATCAGCAAGCCTCCCCAGAGCTTCCCCAAGGTGCTGTGACCAGTTGTGCTTTACGGCCTGGCCCCAGACATTCATAAACCCTCAAACGGTCGACGAGTCTTTGAAAAACCTTTACCACAAATGAAAGACTCACCGATCAATCCTGAATTCCACAAATCTGTGACATGAAAGGCAGAATGCCTTGCCCACCTGAGAAGTATTGATTTCCATACATGGGGATATAATTTCAATTCTTTAGCTCTCACCAGAACAATGTAGACTGATCCGGGACCTCAAAATGGGGCACGCCTCCTTAAACACTGCCCTAAAAGGCGCCAAGTTGGAAAGAAGATGGGGCGATGGCACTTACGGCTGGCGGGCGTGGGGCAGGCCTGGCAGGGCCTATTCCAGGCCTGGCCGATGTTGTAGGAGCAGCAGCACATCTTCTGGGTCACGTTTAAAGCCAGCTCGTTCTGACATGTGCCGTTATAATTCCGAAAGCAGACGCTC